CGCGCCGAGCCGCGCCGGGGCCGCCGGCCTCCACCCCCACCCCGCGGATGCCGCGTTGCTATGGAGACCGCTGTCTGGTAACACAGGGGCGAGGGACCGCCGGCGTCACGTGGGCCGCGGGGGGAGCCCAGGTGAGCCGGGGGCACGCGTGTGCTTCTGCGCACCTCTGTGCGCGCACAGGTGTGTGCGTGTGTACACACGCGCGTGGGCGCACCGACACGCAGGGGAACCGCAGGCCGCGCAGGATTGACACTGGCGCGGCCTGCACCGAGGGCCGCGCGCTCCCCGGCGTGCGCGTGCAGCGCAGGAGTGTGAATGCGAGTGTGCGCACAGACGTGGAGGCAGGGGAGTTCGGGGTGGAGGGGTGTACAGGAGCGTGGCCTGGCCTGCGTGGTTTCTGGCACACGGGGAGGGGGCTCGGGGCGTGCACGCGCGGCACAACTGGCGGGTGCATATCTTGCGCACACACGCAGCAATTCCTTGTCCCTTTCAATAAATAGCAAATCTACCCCAGAGAGAGATCAAGGAGCTTGTTTTTAGTGATAGGGCCCAGCTTTTCCTATGGCGATTGCTATCTTTTAAGTAGTCTATTCAGGAAGGGAGTGCCATCCTGTCAAGGTGCTAGGACACCGACTCAGGACACTTGGTTTTAATCCCAGCGTTGGCACAGAGTTTTTACATAGTCTGGGGCATTTCTTTAAGCCTCCCCTTCACCATCTGCAAAAACAGAAGTAAATGATGTCCCTGCTTTGCAAGAGCAAAAAAGTTACGTATCTGCGCTATTCCCACAGAGCGCTCGAGGCCGGTGCACCGCGCGGGCACGGGTCCGTCCTCGCGAAGGGAGGAGAGACCACCAGCAAGCCCAGGACAGAGACGGAAGCAGGAGCTCCAAGCTGCTGGCTCCTAACCTCCTTGCTCTTTGTGAACAAAGCTAAATTGCCTCTGGAAAGGCAGGACGCCCTCTTGACATGCCAGCTGGTGTGCTTACATTTTCCGCTGGAGCAGCAAGACTTCCAGGCCAAGGAACACCAAAAAAAGGAGAAATATGTGAAACCCTGTAACTTAAGACAAGTCCAACTCAGTCATGTCCGTGTAGACAGACCTGAGCTGGCCGAAGTCTGGCTGGCTGAAATGAAAGCGGACAAGCCGGCCGGAGATCCCGGGCTCTTATGCCGCTGGCTAACCTGAACCGAAGTCCGTGCCACTGTCTTCACTGCCCACATTAGCTGGATTAAAGCCACATATGCCACAATTGTAGCTCCCAGCTTCAGCATTGGGGTAACCACATAGTTAGCTGTATATGATCTATCATCTCACACAACCAGCCTCAGATAGATCACCTACAGTCTATTATGACAGATTTGCTACATGCCACCCCAAAAACACCCAGAGGTCTGATACTACAGATGCTGGATGTAACCACGTGCACTACGAACTCAGCCCCCAGGTCATTTCTGGAGCAGGGAACCCATTCCCAGTTCTTTGCCTCTCATTAAATCAAATGGAAAACTTCTCACCCAACACAGACACAAGGGACAGAAGCAGAGACAAGAAATTTCTCCACCGAGTCCAAGACCTGTTCGGTACAGAAGGGAAAGCATCCGAGTGTCCATTATGGGTGCCGGGCTCTCTGGGTTATTTTATACCATCCCCTGCCCCGGGAGGAGTTTCAGCAGAGCTCCAGTCCGCTCGAGGAAGGAGGGGATGCATCTCAATACCAAAATGCCAAGGCCAGAGCAGCTGCATTGGGTTTAGGCCAACTAAAAGCTTCCCCCAGAATTTATGCAGCACAAAGGAGGTGGGTCACCTGTGAGAGTCTGTCACAATGCACGCATTATCGATAAGCTGAAACTAGCTCTGCCATTTTTTTTTCATTATCCATCCATCAATCTATATATCTAACACGCACACACACAATCATCTGACAGGCTTAGCATCACTCACTACATGGAGACCTGAAAGTGGATGCAATGGAAAGCAGCAGTTGAAGCAGAGCGGAGCTTTCTGACTAGCAGGTGGGAGCATGGCACCTCGTTTTCCTGGCCAATTCCAGGCCTTTGTCCGGATTGACAAACTCAGTCGGTCAGGAGACGTCAGTCGTGATAACACCAAGACAGCTGCCTCCCTTTACTCATACACGTACTCCACGAACAACTTCTTGGGGGGGGGGGGGGGGG